GAAGTGAAAAATGTAGCAAGGATATCAAGTAAAAATGTGTCTTGTAATGCTGCGGCCTGTTCAACTGTTCACCTAAGGAAACTGGGGGCCCTGACATAACTTAGGCTGTTTCTCTAAGACCAGGTGTACCAGTTAGGAAATTATTCTAACAAACAACCCAGGAAGAGTGGAAAATGCTGGATGGTCAACCAGCCTCCCCCGATATATTTTCTGACAGTGGATAAAGAAACGCCTGGAAACCAAACCCAGTCACCTTGTTCTGAAATTTAATTGACCTTATTTGTTCAGCCACATTCAAACAAATCAATGAACTGTCAGGCATCTTCCGACATCCCTGCAGCTTTGACGATTTTACACAAGCCAACCCTAATTTCTCTTTCATTCTCCTTCACATAGTTTCTAAAACTACAAGGTGCTACCTTGTTGCTGACTGGTATGCGAAATTCATACTCACACTGGTAAGAATTCTGTGTAGCAGAATGACTTCAGGAAAAAAAAACATTTCTACTCCTATTTCATTTCTACTTCTATATAAGGTCCTGTGCCACTGTCATCATTGTAGTATCTAAGCAACTCTTCCATCGCATCATTTGAGTTTCATTCTCCTGCATCACAGAATTTTCAGTGTGATATTCTTAAACTTCAGCTCATCTATAAGATTCTCCTGACCTTTCTGCAAGATACAGGACTCCTAAGAATGGTGAGCTGGCTGAGAATATCATACATAGCAAGTCTGATTACTGGGGGTTTCATACAGTGTAGAGCTACCCACTTTTAGACTAATTCACTGACTGGACTGTGTCTTTTTAGAATTACATGCAGTTGTGTGCAATGGAGAGTAATGAAAATCATCTTTGATTTTCAATTTCATTAATATAATATGTTTTCCCCTTGGCAAGATGTGAATTTAGAGCTCTAAGAATTCCTCTGTTTACAGGCCATAACAGGAGTCTGCTGAAGAGAAAAGCCAGTTTTATGTTATCCACAAATAATCTACTCAAGTTTTCTTCCTAGGCAAGGAATTCTTCCAATAGTCAAGAATTAGAACTGCCCAAGAGACAACCTGATAATACGGAGAGGATGCCTTTCAAGTAGACACACAGGGTTTAAAATGCAAGAAGGAAGCAGACAGAAAAGCAGCTTCCTAATAAGCTTGTTCACAATAAGCAAAGACTGATTCACATCAGGTGCACTTTTAAGCCCCTGACTGCACTCTTGAAGTCCAGGCAACACTGCTAATTAGCCAGTGAGAATTTTACCACAGCCAGAATAAGCCTTTAAAACATCTTCAGCTTACAGTTAAGGTTACAAAGAGGTATTTACACCAACTATTTTTAAAAATCTACTTAGTTTAGTAGAAGTAGGAAGAACAATTCTTTTGAAACATGCAAAGTCTAGTTCAATGACCTTCAGTTTGAAGTCTACAGCCCACTGCAGGTCTGTGGACTATCTCACTATAAAGAATGAACAAAAAAAAGCACTTCATGTATATTGCACAAAAAATCCTTAAAATTGGGTGCACTCCAATAGAAATTTTCTAGTGTTCTATAAACAAAAAAAAATGATAACATACCTGACAGTTTCAAGCAAATTGTCTCTAACTGTACCAAAAGTTTGGTATTCTGACTTTATTTGTTGATTATTTATATTCACCTTAACTAAAAAAGGAATGCACTTAAATGAAATACAAGGGTGGGATTGTAGGCACTATTGGATCTAAACTATGAAGATCCATTTATTTGTGCAAATCTGAACAATGCAGGAAGGAAAGAAAAGTAGAATGCTCAGATTTAGTATTTAGCTTCCATCAGGGCTTGCTGATTTGAGGCTAGCCCTGTGGCAGAAACCCCAGAATGTGCTGGTCATGGCTTATGGAAGCCTTTCCAACAGCTCAAAAGCACTGCACACTCCGTCCACCCCAGTCCCTACCTGCTATGCCAATGGAGAGACAACAGGCTGGATTAAAAGAAACAAAAGTGTCATCTGTATGGCTACTACCAGCTACTAAGAAGCCTGACAGATTTTTTACCTTCTTTGTGCCATCAGAACAATAGGACCTTAGAAAGTTACTGCTTTCTTATTTGAGCCAAGTGAGATACATCGCATACCTCCCTCATACCAAGCACCAGAGCAGGATAGCAGCACATACTCTGTGTTGCGGTGTGGCCCAGCAAATATGTTTGCATTCCATACCACAGTTTAACAAAGGTGCCTTGATTTCCATGCAGTGTGGTGCATCTCTGGACTGTCCTCTGCCTTCATGGAACTCTCTCCCCTTTAATTTGCGTAAATCCAAATACATTCACAAGCATCTGTTGCCACTGCTAGCGTTTCCCTCCAGAAAATATCAGCAACACAAATTCTGTCTCTGCATTCTATTCAGTAATTTCTTCAATAAGAAACAGATTCATAATAATGTAAATCATATATATCAAGACAGTGGAACACTTGCTTTTTCAGCACCATTTCTGTCCAAAGGAAACCCACTACTTCTGCCAGCAGCACTGTTCCTCCTCATCCTCCTCTCCCCTTGAGTTTTCCAATAAGCTGGAGTTCCTCCTAGACCATGATGTTGACTGTACAGCGGTGCTCCATCTACAAGCAGACACTTGACCAATTGTTTATACAGTCCAGTAGCCAACACGAGTTCTTTCCACCAGTTTTCAGATCCAGAAAGTATGTGTCAGTTTGACACAGAGGAATGAGGTTTTGACTCTGCAGGCTGTTGTGTTGGGTTTTTTCCCTTAATATAATGGTGATGCATAGCTTTTTTGTTTCACTTCCAGATTATCTATAAGCCTTTTTCTATGTATTAAAAATGGACAGATATATGCTAATGGGAAAGTGGGATTACACACACACAGAGGAGATCCAGGCTGTTAATCTTGGGTACTGGGATTCCCCACTTCATTTCTGTGCAAATGCAAGGACAACATGGCCATGCTGATTATATGTTTGTACAGTAACTGGTTACAGAGATATGACTTTTCTCTCTCAAGGAAGCTCTGGCACTGAAGTC